ACAAGCTTCTGTCACCGTGACACTCCGTCCTGCGTGAAACCTGGAAGCAGCAAGGACTGAGAACTGTCCGATCCTTCGCCCAGCACGCTCCCTTCCCTTGTGCGTCTAGGGTACTCCATCACAGTGACGCAGCTCTGACTGACACATTTGCACAGCACTCTGCAGACAGGAATGGACACCCATGCTTGTGCTGTGACGTGGTTAAAAGAAACACTCCGATTTATCAGTTCAGCATGCCAGACATTCATTCAGTTTCCAAATCTCATACCTGAGAAAAGAACTACATCTAACCAAAAAGAATGTTGAAGGAACTTTCGGTTTAATCATGAAAAAGGTGGCTGCTTCTGTCTTCAACTCATCAGCCAACTTTCCAATCTTAATATTATGAATTTCTAAAAGAACAGATTATATCTGCTTCTTGAGGTGAAAAAGCAATTGCTTGCTGCCTTTTACATTACCTAGGTCTAATTACAGAACATTACCTTAGGATTATATTAAATTACTGTTATTCAACAAAATGATTTATAATTTTAGTCATTCTAAAACTAATTCATGGTGAACCTAGATACCACACAAAATAAAATCAACCTTAGCTCCAGGAATCCGAGTATCATTTTTATCCTCAAACAGATGTTTGTCCTCAGGTCACCTCCCCAAACCCAGTGACATGCTATCTCTGGCCAGCAGCGAAGGTAATTTTGTTGTTTTGTTGCTTGAATCAAGGTCTCGTGTAGCCCAAGCTGGCCCTAACCCAGCTATGTGGCCGAGGATGACCCTGAACTCCTGGTCCTGTGTCTCCACCCCAACTGTCTGAATTACAGCTGTGGGCTACCACACCTGCATATAAGATACTTTTTCTTTTTTTATTCACATTTAATTTTGTTTGTGCATGTGCACACATGCGGAGGTCAGAGGACAACTTACAGGAACGGGGTCTATGGAATAACTCAGATAGGCAGGCTTTGTAGCAAATGCCTTTCTTGCTCTGCCATCTTGCAGGTCCTGATATATTGTTCTCTGAAACAGTTTCATGTATCCCAGGATGGCCCTGAACTTACTTGATGAAGCCAAACATGACCTTGAACTTCACCGGCCATCTCCTCCCAAATGCTGTGGTGCGGGGTTACGGGGTGAGCCACTAGCAAGCTCTAAGCTCCGAAAGAACATTTTATCAGCCATGACACTGAAGGGTAGGAAAGCCTGCAAGAGTAATCGCAAAGCAAGACAAAGAATCCGCTCTCCTCCTGCTTCGTGTCCAGAGCTATTGCAGTGCGACCACAGCTTCCAGGGTTCTCTGGGAGGAAGTCCTTGACTTGTTCATACACTCAAGAACAAGTTAGTCTTTGTCTTTTCATATTTATTTTCTTTTGTGTGTGAGTGTGCCTGAGTGTGCTGGCTGAGTTAAAAAGATCCTTGAAGAGCTAGGAGAAGCTGGCCTGCTGGCCTTCAAACATTCAAGAGGTTGAGGCAGGGGAATTCCAATTTTAAGACTAGCCTACCTAGCAAGAAACTCTGTGTGTATGTGTGTCTCTTTCTCTTGAGTTAGGGTTTCTTTGTGTAGCCTTGGCTGTCCTGGACTCGCTTGTAGACCAGGCCATCCTCAAACTCACAGAGATCCACCTGCCTTTGCCTCCCTGAGTGCTGGGATTACATACATGTGCCACCTTGACCAGCTGAGTCCTCGTTTCAAAACAATAACAACAACAATAAACTTAGAAAAAGAAAAAACTAAGAGAAACTACTACATTTGTGACAAGCAGGCAGTGGAGGTGTTTCTATCCCCGGGAGCAGAATACAACCTTCAGGACTGAAAAACAAACAAACAAGCAAAAGGGCCTCAGAAATCTGACAGGTAAGTGTAAAACGTGGGAGTTTTGAGAGGCAGCTTAGCAGTTCCGCATGTCCCTCACAGCCTGGGGTTAGAGTCCCAGCATCTCGGGAAAACAAGAGGACCTGCTTTAGGGAGAGTACACAAACTTACCTAACTATCTGCTTTGCAGTTGCTAAGAAAACTACTTCTTTATTATTAAAAAAAAATCCAGATGAAAGAGCTCAGGGCACAGGTACTGTCCTACAGTCTATTCATAACAACAAAGAGAGCCAAATTCAACCATACAGACACTTACTTGTAAGACCATGGTTCTATGTTCAATAGAAGAAGTATGAGGGGGCCAGAGAGACAGCTCAGAGGTTAAGCACACTGGCTGCTCTTCCAAAGGTCCTGAGTTCAAGTTCCAGCAACCATATGGTGGCTCACAACCATCTATAGTGACATCTGGTGCCCTCTTCTGCCGTGCGGGCACACGTGCAGGCAGTATACCATATAAATAATAAATCTTAAGGAAAAAAAAAAACAGCTAAAATTTGAGAATACAAACTAGAGTCCTGAGGCAGGTGTGACTGGGCCCCGCCTAGAGCTGGTGCTCAGACTGTGCGTTACAGTGCAAGCACAAGGCCAGCCTGGGGAGACAACAAAATCCTGTCTCAAGAAAGCAAGCAGGGTCTTCCACTTCAATAGACAAAAACAGGATGCCCATTAACAGCACAACTTGTAATCATGTTGAGGAATATTCAAACAGTAGGATTCTCAGCAAGCGCTGAAAACTCTTGCCATAAAAATGCCAGGCGGGGCTGGATGGCTCAGCGGTTAAGGGTACTGTCTGCTCTTCCAGAGGTCCTGAGTTTAATTCCCAGTAGCCATCTATACTGGGATCTGATGCCCTCTTCTGGCATACATGCAGATAGAGCACTCGTATACATAAAATAAATAAATCTTTTTTTTTAAATCAAGTCAAGAAAGAAAGAAAGAGAGAAAGAAAGGAAGGAAGGAGGGAGGGAGGGAGGGAGGGAGGGAGGGAGAGAGAGAGAGAGAGAGAGAGAGAGAGAGAAAGAAAGAAAGAAAGAAAGAAAGAAAGAAAGAAAGAAAGAAAGAAAGAAAGAAAGAAAGAAAGCCAGTAATTCCAGCACTCAGGAGAGGCAGAGGCAGAGGCAGCTAGATCGCTGTAAGTTCCAGGCCACCTGGTCCACAAAGCACATCAATCCAACACAGCCAAGGCTACCCAGAGAAATCCTATCTTGGAAAACAACACAACACAACACAAAACAACAGAAACAAAAAAGGCTAGAAAATGAATATTTGAGATATTTGAGGCTTTGCCATCCAGCCTCTGTTCTAAGTGCCCAATCCTGCCCGTGAAGAGCAGAAATGAGACAATTATCACACTGATGGCTGACGTCCATATCATGTTCACGTGTCACCGTGACACAGCTTTTTAAACAGGCTAAGAGAGCTTGTTCTGGAGAGCGTGAGCGCAACTCCCGCACCAACACAGTGGGTGGCTCACATCTGTAACCCAGTCTGGGGGATCTGACCCCCTCTTCTGCTTCTCAGGGTGACGTGCGGTACACATACACAGTCAGGCAAAACAGTCAAACACAAAAATAAATCTTTTAAAAATAGGTTATTAGAAGGTCAGCCTTTAATTCCAGCAGGATAGCCAGGACTACATATAGAGAAATTGTCTCAAAACAAACAAACAACAACAAAAAAAAAACCCACCCAGTGGTGACCCATGCCTTTACCCCACCCAGTACTTGGGAGGCAGAGGTAGGTGGATCCCTCAGTTCGAGGGCCAGCCTGGTCTATAGAGCTCTGTTATACCAGGGGAATCAGCTTACACACCCACCCAGAGGAGTAAGGAAAGAAGGGGCGGGGGAGGGGAGCTGGAGCTCCGAAACAGCGCAGGCGGGTCATAGCGAGGCTAGCCGCAGATAAGCGCGGATGTGGCTTGCGGACGGACGGACAGGCGCGGACGGACGACAGCCGGGCAGTGGCGGAGAGCTAGCGCGCGTCACCGCGGATAACTGCGCGGGCCGCGGGACGGAGAGCGGCCTTGGCAGGGCGAGGTGGCGCAGGCCTTGAAGCCCGGCACTCGGGGAGGCAGACGCGGCGGATCACTGTGAATTCAAGGCCAGCCTGACTACAAAGCAGGTCCAGGCCAGCTAGGATTACGCAAAGAAACCCTGTCTCAAAAAGAAAAGAGAAACAAAAACAAAAAACAAAAAACGGGCCTTTGACCCGGCGCATGCGCACACACAACTCCTGCTCCCGCTCTGTCTCGGCGGTCACCACCGTGACTCGGCTGACCCAACTTTGTAGGCTGGTGGGGAGGAGAGGAGAAACAGCCAGCCGCAGGGCGCCAGTTTCTAATCGCTGTTCAGGAGGCGACGTTAAAAATCAGAACCAGTTAGCAGTGGGCGAGGTTTTCAAGCCACAGTGCGAGAGAGACATTATCGCGAGACCCGGGAAGGGTGCTGCACTCTGCGCGGAGATGGCAACACCAGCAGAGGCCGAGTCTCCTAAGAGACTCAGCCACAAGAAATACAGGGCCCTCCTGAAGAAGGAGAAGCGCAAGAAACGCAGGCAGGACGTCGCCCGGCTGCGGGATCTGGAAGCCCCACCCGAGGGGGACGACGGTTCTTGTGAGGAACAGCTTGCAGCTTCACTGGAGATGGAGCGGCAAAAACTACACGAGGAGTGGCTGCTCAGGGAGGAGAAGGCTCAGGAAGAATTCAGAATAAAGAAGCAAAGAGAAGAGGCCGCTAGGAAACAGCAGGAGGAACAGGAGAGACAGATAAAGGACGAATGGGAAGAACAACAAAAAAAACAGAGAGAAGAGGAGGCGCAGAGGCTACAAGAGAAGAGAGAGAGAGAGGAAGCGGTGCAGAAAATGCTGGACCAGGCTGAAAACCACGGCACTTGGCAGAATCCAGAGCCACCGAGGGACCTACGACTGGAGAGGTACCGAGCCAGCTGTCCCTTCTACAGGAAAACGGGGGCGTGCAGGTTCGGCAGCAGGTGTTCACGGAAACACGACTTCCCCACGTCCAGCCCCACCCTTCTGGTGAAAAGTATGTTCACAACGTTCGGGATGGAGCAGTGCAGGAGGGATGACTATGACTCTGACGCAAACCTGGAGTACAGCGAGGAGGAGACCTACCAGCAGTTCCTGGACTTCTACCATGATGTGCTGCCCGAGTTCAAGAGCGTGGGGAAGGTGATTCAGTTCAAGGTGAGCTGCAACCTGGAGCCGCATCTGCGGGGCAATGTGTACATTCAGTACCAGTCTGAAGAAGAATGCCAAGCTGCGCTCTCTCTCTTTAATGGAAGATGGTATGCAGGCCGACAGCTCCAGTGTGAATTCTGTCCAGTCACCCGGTGGAAAGTTGCAATTTGTGGTTTATTCGAAATGCAAAAGTGTCCAAAAGGAAAGCACTGCAACTTTCTTCATGTGTTCAGAGATCCCAACAATGAGTTTCGAGAAGCTAACAGAGACATCTACCTGTCTCCAGCCTGGACTGGTTCCTCCGGTAAAAACTCCGACAGGAGGGAGAGGAAGGACCACCATGAAGAATACTGTGGCAAGCCAAGCTGCCGCCACTCCAGTCCACACCACTCCTCCAAGAGAAACAGGGAGCCCGAAAGGAAGAGCCCGCACAGGTGGAAGAGGTCTCACAACCAGGGAGCAAAGGGTCATGAGAGGCACAGTTCAAGGCGAGGAAGAGAAGACGGCAACAGTCCCGGCCCACAAAGCCAGAGCCACAGAACCTGAGCCAGGCTGAGGCAGCATCCCTCGGCCTGAGACTCTGAGACCAGGTTTGGCAGCAGCAAGATGCCATTACAGAGTAAAACCTAATGCAGATACCCCAAGATAGTCCAAACAAAGCTGATTACAAAGAAAAGGAGGATGACTCAATCTAGTTCCCAAACAAGTTGAAAATCTTGTGGCTTTAACAGGGACAGAACCAGGTATTCATTATCTCTTAGTCCTTCACTGTTACAATTCTTGGTATCATGTTTTTTTCCATACAGTTTAAACTAGCTTTCATGTGTTGAGTTTTCATGTAATAACAAGATTACTTTAAATTGTGATGTCTTATTATACTTACAAATATACTTATTAACATCATTTTTATATCTTTTGAGTCAACAAAATTTCCAAATATAAATTACATTTATGTTTTACTGAAAAAGAACACACAGGAATACAGAAACGCTAATGTTCCCTGTTTTTATAGACAGGCTCTCACAATATAGCCCTGGCTGGCATGGAACTTGCTATGTAGTCTAGGCTGGCCTTGAACTCAAGAGTTCTGCCTGTCAGATGCTCGGGTTAAAAGGAATGTACCACCATCACAGTCTGATGGTAATCAGTGGATTTTTTTCTTGTTTTTTTTTAAAGGTGTGTGTGTGTATTTGCACGTTGGTGTGTGTGTGTGTGTGTGTGTGTGTCTGTGTCTGCAAGCATACACATGTGAGTGCCTTAACCTGTAAGCCATCTTTCCAGCTCATGATTTTTTTAAATCATATATCTCATAAAACTTGAGAACAAGTTAGTAAAAATTCTAGGTATCTACCAAGCAACCAACTTAACATAATTTATACATATTATTTCCAAATTATTAACACTGTGAATTTAAGACACAGTGACGCAACGCCTATAATCCCAGCACTCAGAAGGGCAGAGGCAGGCGGATCTCTGTGAGTTTGAAGCCAGCCTGGTCTACAAAGTGAGTCCAGGAAAAGAAAGCTAAGGCTACATAGAGAAACCCTGTCTTGGAAAACAAAAAACAAAACAAAACAAAAAAAAAAACAAAAAACATTGTGAATTTAAGAATACATATTTAAGGGAAGGGTTATCTCTTTATAAATGTTCAAATTTTAAATACTTTAGGCTCTTAAAACCAAATAATACCTGTCACAGTCACTGTTACTATACTGCCAACAGCTGCTACAGATAAGAAGCAAATGAAAAAAAAAAGAAAAAGAAAAAATAAAAAAATAAATAAATAAAAAGAAAAATAAAAAGAAGCAAATAAATGAGCACGTCACCAAGTAATAGCAAACCATTATCAAAATAAGCACAATGGTGTGTGTCACTGAGTTGCGGAGCACTTGGCTGGCAAGGCGTGGTTTAATGGCCACAGTTTTATCAAACAAAGCAATAAAAACAAAAAAGATGGGAATGTGGTAAGGAATAGAATGGTAGCATAGGCCAGATTAGGCCTACAGTCATAATTCGCCACCTCTGACTTAGAGTATTATATATTTTGCTCTTTCCACACAGGAACTGTATTTTACATTGCCCAAGCTAGTTCTAAACTCCTAAGCTCAAAAGATTCTCCTGTTCCAGCTTCCCAGTAGCTGGGATTACAGGCATATGCCACTCTGCCCAACTATGCTTACCTTTTCAATGCAACTGGCACATTTAGGCACAACCCATTCATTCAAATGTCCTATGAGTCTTCACTAAGTGCCTACCACATGCCAGAAATAACTGTTAAGGGATGGAGAAAATACTAGAGCTGCCCTCTTTACACGTGAACATGCCAGGAAGTACAGTGTAAAAACTCAGGCAGCATTGTTCTTCACACCAAATTATAAATGCGAGCTGAAAGAATTACAGCAAAATTGGACAGCCTGCTGCGACAGGCGATACACACCTTCAATCCCACCACTCTGGGGGATTTCTGTTAAGTTTGAGGCAGTGTGATCTACATAGTGAGTTCTGGGCACATAGTCATAGCCTATTTTTTTAAAATAATAATAAATAGAGGCTGGAGAGATGGCTCAGTAGTTAAGAGCTACACATACCATGACTCCTTAATTAAGTTCACAACTGCTTGAGCACTACCCAGAAATCAAAGCTGGAGTGACAAAGCCCACAAGATAGTTCACAAGATGGATAAAGGTGCAGGCTGCGAAGCCTGAAGGTGCAAGTTAGATCCCTGGAACTACATGGTGGACGGAGAAAATTGACTCCTATAATTCTGACCTGCCCATGTGCACGCACGCGCGCGCACACACACACACACACACACACACACACACACACACACACGTGTGAATGAATGGGCTGCTTCATATCCACAAGCAAATGAAATGTTTATCTTTTTGTGATTAACAGGTAAAGCCAGAGTGCTAACATCCCAAACAAGGAAAGTGAAAGAGTCCATTCTACATAGAGTACTCGGTATGAATGTCAGGGAAACACTGGGCAACAATGTGAAAATTAGGAACCTGAAAATGGTGCACAGTAGGTTGTCAGGTGGTTGGCAATAAGGGAACTGTTCCCTGGGCCTGGCTTTAGCTCGGCATCACACGCTTACCTAGCACAAGATCCTGTGTGGTCCTCAGCACATCACAGACTGAGCCTGGTAATGAGTCTGTGCAGAACGTGATTTTCTAGGTGAAGGATGTGAAGTCTACTACCATCTACCTGAACAGGAATGCCAGCAGGAGTAAAGGAAGAAATGTTCACTTTTTCTTCCCTGACCCGCAGCTACATACCCTCATGTTATGATCAAATTGGACTGTTTACCAATTCTTGGCTGTGCGATGTATATGTGCATTCACACGTTCATGTATGTGTATATATGTGCATGCACACATTCACATGGTGAAGCAGGACGACGTCTGGGATTGTCCTCACCTTGTTTAGTGTGAGATGGGGTTTCTTTGTCATCTTTTCACTATGTATACCAGGCTAGCTAGCCCTCAGCTTCCAGAATTGTCCTGTTTCCACCTCCCAAGTGTGCGCAAACTGCAGACACTACATGACCATCTTCTGTTTTAAGACTTAAGATTTATCTTATGTGTATGAGTATGTTGCCTGCCCTGTATACCTGGTTCCCAAGGAAGCCAGAAGAGGGTGTCAGATTCCCTAGAACTGGAATGACAGAAGTTGTGAGCCACTGGGTGCTGAGAACCAAACCCAGATCCTCTGCAAGAGCAAGTGTTCTTAGCTGCTGAGCCGCCTCTCCAGCCCCGACACATCCAGCTTTTATGTAGGCTTCAGGGGTGTGAACTCAGGCCCTTGCACTTGTAAGGCAGTCACTTTACCTCGAAAGCCACCTCCCCACCCCTACTCACCTCCCCATCCTTGACATGCTCTACACTTTCCTACCCCACATCTGCTACCCCATAAATATCCTGCCTTTACCTAAGTTTAACATGATCACTTTGTTCAAAAGCAGCAAAACAGCATCTTCAAGAAGCCTGCCATTAGCTGGGGCTGGGGGACGGACAGGGTGCACACGCCTTTAATTTCAGCCCTTAGGAAGCAAAACCAAGCAGATCTCTGTGAGTTCAAGGACAGCCTGATCTACACACTGAGACCCTATCTAAAAAAGGGAGGGGGCCTGGAAAGGGTAGGTAGCAGTGGTTTTATTATTACTGTAACACATATCTTAAAGTTTGTGAGGAAGATACTGAAGTGGAAACAAAGGGAATGTGAAAGACTACTTCCAGAAATGGATGGAGAGAAGGCCCAAATCCTGACCGGCAAAACAATGGTGGCATTTCAACAAGGAAAGAGCCCTCCAGCTCTATTCTCTGTTCCTCCTCTTGAAGGGGCCAAGGCTCCCCTCCCCCAGACCCCCAGTCTTCCTCACTCTGATGCGATGCAAGTGCCCATCATGGGAGGCCATCCCACGACGCCAATAATGGGCCCTACTCCTGGAGTGACGCCGTGGGGCCTGCTTCTGTAATGAGGCCATCCGCGCACGGAGGCCACAGCCCCCGGCCCTCCGATCACTCCACTGAACCTGGAGTGAACAAACTGGGTTAGAATGGCCCAGGGTCCTCCTGTCTCTGACGCCCCAAGGTTTGGGTTACAGGTACCTGGCTCTCTCTGTGGGCTCCAAGGGATGGATCTCGGGTCCACATGTTTGCATGGCAAGCACTTTATCCACTGAGCCATCTCCTCAGCCCTGTGTTCTAATCTTCAGAGGGGATGAGTGTCCACTGTTTGTTTGTTTGTTTGTTTTAATACATTATTTTTACAGTTTTTCTTTTTTGAACTTTGGCACTAGAAGCATTCCTATGGCTAATTCTGGGTCTAAGTCAGAATTAATATAGTGGTCATTAGCCACATGTGAGCACTTTAGCCATTTGAAATGTGGCTAGTTGCAACTAAAATATTTTAAACGTAAAATGCACATCATAAGGATTTTTGTGAAGGGGCTGGAGAGATGTCTCAGTGGTTACTCAGTGGTAGAGGACTGGCTACCCTTCCAAAGGACCAGGGTTCAATTCCCAGCTCACTACATTCTATAACTCCAGCTCCAGGAATTCCAGCACCTTCACACAGATAAACATGCAGGCAACACTTCAGTGCACAGAGGGTAAAATACTTTGTAAAAGCAAAACATTGTTTAGTGATTACATAAATGATAATACTCTGAATATACTTCAATAATAACATATATATATCACAGGAACCAGCTAGGCAGATAGCTCAATCAGGGCCTGGTTCTGATTCTCTAGCACCCATGAAAAGGCTGGGCATGGCCCCCTATTTCTGTCACCCAAGCACCGGCAGAGCAAATACGGGAGATCTTTGGAGTTCCTGGATGGCCTGGCCAGTCAGACTGGATTCAGGTTCAGTGGGAGCCCCTGCCTGGCAGAGTGGCAGTGCAAGGCACTGCCATAAACCCTTAGCCTTCATACGTGTCACACACAAACACACAGTCACAGTGCAAGTGTGGTGGCAGATGTGTGTAAGTCCAGGGCGTGAGAGGTGGAGGATCAGGAACTCAAGGTCATACAGCTACACACTGAGTTCAAGACCAGTCAGGGCTACAAGAGGTCCCATCTCAAGACCGAGATGGTGGAGGAACAGGGGCTGGAGAGATGGCTCAGAGGTTAAGAGCAGTCAGTGCTTCTGCGGAGGACCTGGAGTCCCAGCACCCACACGGTGGCCTGTAACTCCCAGGCGTCAGGCGCATACTCAGGGCACGTACACACATGCGGGTCTAACACCCATACACACAAAATAAAAACCAATAAAGCTTCTTAGTTAATTTCACCTGTTATGTTTCCCTCATAATTTTCACGGGACAGTCCGATGGATACTTCGTTCCGTTTGGCAAATACACTATTAACCAAGAGGTCGACTGCTTTAGTAGTGTTTACTCCAGCTAATCAATCTCTTATCTCCCCAACTTCTACAACCCAGGAAAGCTGGAATGCACACTCGCGCATAAAGGGAGACCTTTATACAAGGGGCCCTGGCTGGCGTGGCTGTCCTGGAACTCGCTACGTAGAACAGGCTGGCCTCGCACTCAGACAACTCTGCCAGGCTCCGCTTCCCCAATGCAGAGATCAAGGGCGTGCACCACTGCTCCCAGCTTCATCCTCTCAACCTTACAAAAGTCCGGGGTGGAGGAAGCTTATCTACACTACAGACGCGGAGAAGACTTGAGGGGTAAAAACAAGGTTTGCACTGATCGGTGCGCCCAGCGCGAAGGGCGCAGGGCGCAGGGCGAGCCCGAGGCTGGGGGCGGGGCGGACGGGCCAGCGGTACCTTCAGAACGCCCCTCATCTTGGCCAGGAAGGGGCGGAACTCCTCCAGCGGCACTTCCGGGTAGAGCTGGCCGTGCAGCAGCTCCTCGGGGATGCCCGGCTGCCCGTGGAACGCGCTCTGCGCCAGGCCGCCCAGCAGCCCGCTCAGGGACTTGCAGCCCTCCAACTCGCCCGCCATGGCCAGGGAGGGCCGGCGGCCGAGCTCCGCCCCGCTACGGGGGCCGAGAGGGGCCGGAAAGGCGCCCGCGGAGCGCGTGATGGGTGTGAGCCGTTCTCGTCCTGTGGCTCTGCCGACCGGGCATCTGCTACTTCCACCGCAGCCAGATCCCTTCCGAGTCCTTCAGGGTCACTGTGCCCTCGCTGCTTCCTCCTCACTCCGAAGCACACCCGAAGGGAAGACCGCTTGGTGGAGGTAGCTGGTTCCGGCCGCTACTCCGTAAGGGCGTCGCTTTAACTCTTGAATGGCTCAGCTCATTCCGGAGCCCGCAGAACTGAAGAGTGCCTACCTCTCAGCTCCAGTCCTTACCTGCGGAGTTTCTGCCGCCCCCCAGCCCCACCCGCCAGTGTCGCTACGTCCTCAGTACGCGATCCTTTTGCTTCGTCAATACCTTTGTATCCACGTGTGTTGTCTTTCTAGCCACATTAGTAGTCTGATCCAGAGTTCCTTTTTGTAACGTATTTTGTCAATGCCTTCTTTTTATTCACGTGGAATTGCATTAGTAACTTCCTATGTGCGTATTACAATACAAACTACTTACATCCAGCTAGAAGTAACGGCGCACTGATCCACGCTACAATGTAGGTGACCCTCTAAGAGGTGCTAGATGAGGCCTGAGGGGATTCCGCCTTCAAGAGCTCACACTGCGGTCGCAGAGGACCCCAGTTCAGTTCCCAGCACTCTCTTTAGGCAGCCTAGACCCTCCTGTAACTCCAGCCCCAGAAATTTCGAGCTTCCCGGCAATGCACTCATGTGCAAACACACGCATATATAAATTAAAAATGAACCTCCAAAAAAAAAAAAAACAACCCAAAAAACAACCCACACTAAATGAATGAAGCCAGACACAAATGACAATTGGATAATCCCCTGAATATACAATGTCTAAATTAAGCAAATCTATACAAAAATCCAATTGCCAAGGACTAAAGGAGGGAGGAATAGGAAACGACTTAATGGGTACAAAGTCTATTTTCAGGTGATGAAAATGCCTAAGAGCGGACACTAGTAATAATTACACAGCTTTGTCCTTTACTAAAACCCGGTGAATTGCGTTCTTTAAAAGACAAAATTTCAGCCTGGAGAGACGGCTCAGAGGTTAAGAGCTGCCCTTTCAGAGGTCCTGAGTTCAATTCCCAGCAACCACATGGTGGCTCGCAACAGTCTATACCGAGATCTGGTGCCCCCTTCTACAAGACCTACGTGTAGGCAGAAAACTGTATACATAGTAAATAAATCTTAAAACAAAAAGACAGAACTTCCAAATATGTAAATTAGAACCCAATTTAAAAATCAATATAAGCTAATTGTCCTTTAAAATAAAAGGAAATAGCATGCTGCCCTTTAATCTCAGAGCTGAGGAGGCAGAGGCAGGAGATATCTGAGTTAGAGGCCAACCTAGTCTACAGAGCAAGCTCTAGAACAGCCAGGACTACACAGAGAAACCCTCTCTTGAAAACAAAAAAAAAGAAATTAAAGGGAAATAGCACAATATAATATGAATTCTAATTGTGTTTAAGCACAATTATTATGAAGACTGGTGAGCAGATGACGTATAAAGTACCAGATGTCTCCGTCTGTTTTGAAGGAAATGTGTTTGAAACAGTGAATTCTAAAAAAGATGTGGACTTTAGGAGAGGTTGTGTTGAGAGTACTAGGGACTGGGACCAGGGCTTTGTGTATTCCAGGCGGGCATTCCACCACTAAGCAACATCTCCAACTCCAGTCAATTCGGTTTTGTTGTTGTTGTTTTCTGGTATGAAAAGATTTATTGTACGAAGATGGAGAGATAGAGAGAGAGAGATTCAGGAAGGGGGGCACTCAGGGAAGGGAGAGAAACTCCCTTAATTTTAATTTTTTAATTGTTTTTTGTTTCTGTTTTTTTCAAGACAGAGCCTCTCTGTGTAGCCTTGACTGTCTTGGACTCACTTTGTAGACCAGCCTGGCCTTAAACTCACAGAGATCCACCTGCCTGTCTCCCCAAGTGCTGGGTGTTTTAATTTCTTAAATATCCATATGAAAGAACAAAGACTCAATTCATGGGTAACTTATACTGTAACTTAACAGTAAATAAACAATGGCTATTTTTAATTTTTTTAAGTAGGCCAGAAATGTTGATATAAAAACTGATTGAGCCGGCCAGGAGTAGTGGTGCATACCTTTAATCCTAGCACTCCGGACTCACCTGGTCCAAGAAGAAAACATTCTTTCCTCGTTGTTTTTAAACAAAAACCCAATTGTTTGATTTTACCAATAAAGACTCACAGGATACCAGGTTGAAAGCCTGCTGGCACAGAGAGGCAGAAAAAGCACCCAGCTGACCTTCGAGACAGAATTTCTCTGTGTAGCCTTGGCTGTCCTGGACTTGCTTTGTAGACCAGGCTGGCCCCAAACTCACAGAGATCTGCCTGCCTCTGCCTCCCTGAGTGCTGTGATTACAGGCATGCACCAACGCAGTCCTAAAAACCTTTCAAACAGAATGTCCTTCCTTTCTATTTCCTGTTTCTCTATCCATCCTCGGGACTTCCTCTCACGCTTCTTGGTTTTCTCCTGTGTTCACTTCCTGTCAACTGGATGCTTGCTCCACCTTTTGACCTATGGCTGACTTTATTTAATCCTGTTTACAGGAAGCTCTTGGATTAAAAGTGTGTGCTAGGTAGGGCTGAGCCACACCACAATTAGAAACAGGTTTCTCCAGGACACAATTTCAGGGTTCAAGTGTGATCAAATATCCTGCAACACCTCATTTTACACAGTAATTGTAAGCCGGGATGTGTGGTATATAAAAGCAAGCTAAAACACAGGAGGCTGGAGAGATAGCTCACTAGTTAACAGCACTTGTTGCTCTTCCAGGACACAGATTCAGTTCCCAGTACCCACATGATGGTTCACAAACCATGTAATTCCAGTTTCAGGGAACTCAGTTCGCTCTTTTGACTTCTCTGGGCACCAGTCACACAGATGGTGCACATACAGGCATCCAGAAAAACACTCTTTAAATAAGCCTTACAATGTGTGCGTGTGTGCTGAGCATAGTGGCACACACCTTTAATCCCAGCACTTTCGAGGCAGAGGCAAGGGGATTTCTGTGGGTTCAAGGCCAGCCTGATCTACAAAGCATTTCCAGGACAGCAAGGGCTTTGTTGTACAGAGAAACCCTATCTCAACACACATACATACATACACACACACACACACACACACACATTTTACATAGGTGTATGTAAAATGGAGTTAAATTTTAGGCTCCAACAATTCACAGAGGGTTTTTCACCTTCATAAATGTCCCCTGCATGGCAGACTGTGTATTATACTCCAGACCTCTGTTCAATCTGTGCTATTCCTACCCCTCTATGAAGGTGACAACTAAACTGAGCCTTTCAGGAATGTGCCATTCTGAAAAAAGCCACCGATCTAGACTGTTTCAATTAGTGCTTCTCTATGGTTTTTGCTTTCATCCGAGAGAAACATTATGAGGTGTATCTTTCCCAAAAAGTGGTTTTCTAAAAGGCAACTTCAGAAATGTTTTGTGGATCCGAGAAAAACAACACTAAAAACAAGCTATACTTTTGTGTTAAATGTGCCCACAGGGACTGCAAAGGGGCCAGGTGTGGTGGCGCACACCTGTGACCCCAGCACCCAGGAGGCAAAGGTGAGGCCAGCCTGTCCTGCATTGTGAGTTCCAGGAATCCCCGTGCTGTACGGAGAATCCCTGTCTTAAACAAAACAAACAAATAGAAAAGAGGCTGCAAAGAAAGGATGGAAGAAAAACCAGGGCAAAATGGCGGCAGGTGGGACAAAATAGCACCACAAAGCCCTAACTTCTAGACCTTCCGCCTGCAAGTGTTATGCCAGGTTCACGGGACCCTCAGAGACCACCAGGAGACGACTCGATGCAATTGCAAGAGAGCTTTATTACGAGAGCAATCGAACTCGGGACCCAAGTCTCACTGGCGCAGCAGTAGAGAAGTGGGACCCCGAGCTCTGAGTGAACAGGATTTTTAAAGGGAAAGTCTGTGAGCCAGGGGTTTCCATGGCAGCAAGCAGGGGGGGCACAAGCCTTGGTGTTACAGAATTGGGTGAAGTTTAGCAGGGCGGGGTGACCTTTTCTGAGGCACATAATCACAATGGCTAAGGCATATAATCACAATGGCTAAATCATATCTGAAACATTGGGGAGAAATTTTCCACCCGATTCTCAACCGATTCCCATTGATTATTGCCAGGGAGTTTGTCTCTATTTTCTATGAAGCATTTGTTCTGTTATATTTCCTGGGGGCTGTTGCTAGGAGAGTTAACTTTGTTTTCTGCCAGGTGTACACTCTGTGATATTTCCTGGTACCTGAATTCAGTTCCCAGTCAAGATCTTTATTTCAAAATGGAGTTATATTCAGGCTATCTTAAGCTCTTCACAAGGCCGTGGCCAAATTATTTTTTATGGTGTTCGCCAACAGGCACATGGGAAAAGTTATCTTCCAGTTTCTCACTTCTCAATTTTTTACTATGTATGTGTGTGTGTGTGTGTGTGTGTCTGTCTGTCTGTCTGCCTTACAAGAATGGGTTCTCTTCTATCAAGTGGATCTCAGAGACTGAACCCAGGTCATCAGGCCTGGTGGCAAGAGCCTTTACCTAGTGAGCCATCTCTCCGATGCCATTTCTTTAATTTGCATTAAAGAGTTGTGTATTCCTTTTATGTGCATGTGCCTGAGTGTATGCACATGCTCCAGCAGGTGCTGAAGGAAGTCAAAAGAGGCTGTTGGGTCTCCTGGAAGTGAAATTGCAGGAGGCTGTGAGCCATCGGGTAATTGAACCCAGGTGCTCTGCAAGAGCAGTAAGTGCACTTAACCCTGAGCCATCTCTCCAGCCTGCCCCGTTCTTAAAAGTTTCAGAGTGAATATTTACTGTAGGCTTAGCTTTTTCACCAATCCTACTTTAGTTAGGGTTCTCAGGCACCTTTAACTCCCTTCCAGCCACCCCCCTCCACGACCTTAGGTAGGAGATTAGTAGGGAAAAGAGCTGTAGACCACTTTTATCCACTTCCTGTTGATTAAGGTCGAACCGTCTTTAGGAGTTTACCAAACTCCGTCATCAGGATACCAGCAGTCCAGTCCAGAGGCCAACACCAAGCAGCAATACAAAGCCAGCAAAAGCCACCAGA